CGGAGTCCGCAGCATCGGGTGCGCGACGATCTGCACGGCAGGCGTGGGAGGGTCTGGCCGGCCTAGAGGAGGCTCCCTTTCCGCTGCTTTGCCAGGGACCGGCGCGTCCAAAGCCGCATAGGGAGCTGCAGCCTGTGTGGCTGGGCCTCGCAACGACCTCCTCGCGCTGCGCCTCTTTGGGGAAGCTGAGGCGTGCGGGCCCACAGTGCGGCTGGGATGTTTCCATGCTTTTTTTTCTTCTGATGCATTTTTAAATTGGGATTTTTACTAGCACGTGTTTGCAGTACGCAGTGAGCACGTCCCTCACGGGGTGTCGGCGCAGGGACGGAGTACGTCTTAGTTCTTTCCACTTCTCCCCCCCCCCATCTCCTACTCCCCTTTCACAGAAGATCTGTCTGATTTCCTACTACCCGTCCTTGACTTTGCTCTCTATCTACACTTCGGGTTTCAGATGCTGTCTGATGTATCTCACTTAACATTTTGCTCTCTAGGTGCTTCCGTTTTCCTATAAATGGTGCAAGTTTACCCTTCTGCATGGCAGAGTAGTCTGCTGATGCCAGAGTTTAGCTTTCATGAGCCGGCCGCTATAAAGCTGGGTGTGCGCGAATCACCGTAATAAGGGCGTCTTAACTCTTTCAGGAAGACGCCTGGAAGGGGGAGAGCTGGGTGGCGTGGAATTTCTCGTTTCAGTGCTCTGAGGACTGTCCGCACTGATTTCCAGAGTGCGTCCCGCTCACACTCCCACGAGCAGCGGGGGCGGGCGCCTTGCCCTTAGGAGTGCCGGGGTGTGTGGGGCCGAGCAGGTCAGCGGAAGTTTGGCTGCCGCAGGAAGTGCAGAGCATTGTGGGAATGTCAGATCGCACAGTGTCTGTCGTCCCATCCTGGGGACCTGAGGGTGAGGAGGGGCTGCTCCGGGTCCCCCTTGGCAGCCAGCAGTGGGCCTGGATTTCTAGGCCTGCTCTCTGGGGCCCCTGGATGCTGGGGCCCTCCAGGACCCTCAGTGCTGCGATTCCCGTTATTGTTGGGGGTGCCCGCCCCGGGAGCTCACACTGTCCTCCATTGACTCCGTGCCCTCCTCCTGGCGGAGACTAGGTCATCTCCAGATTCCGATAACGTGCCACCACGTTGCGTCGTTAGAGGATGATGGCTGGTGGGAGCGTCTGCCTCTGCTCAGCACAGATGAGTTTTTCTGCATCGCTGGCCGGAGCTTGCCGGAGTCTGTGGGTGTGAGTGCGGTGGTTGCGCCTGCTGGGTGTCTTTGGAAGATTTCTCTCCCTCTCTGAGTTCCAGTTCCTCCTCTGCAAAGCCAGCCTTGTCTCAGGGTCATCGTGAGCTTATGTTTTGCATAGAGCTGAGGGAGGAACCCCACACCTGCCGGTTATCTTCCTGAGAGGTGTGGACGGTGTGCTTAGACACATGAGCTCTGGTTTCCAAGAGCACCGGCACAGAGCTAACCGGTGTAACTGTCCGTGAGCTGCCTTCCTTCCCCGGCAAGTGTGCAGCCAGGCTTCGCCTTGTCACGCTGAGCGGGACAGCCCTCGCATGCGTGGGGTTTACTTGATGGACGGGAATGGGGCCAGGAGGCAGGAAGGCCAGCGCGAGGGCACCTCCAGGGTGGGAGAGGGGAGGTCACTGGGGAGCTCTTTCCTGGCCTCTTCCGCCTGGAGCATCCCCATCCCAGGGTCTCCCGGCTCCTGCCTCCATCTCTGGCCCCATCTCTTGCTCCCTCAGGAGTGAGCTGGGCTCTTGGCCGGGTTCCTACCCCAGTGCAGCTGTCCCTTGCTGTGTGGCCTGGGGCAAGTTCCTCAGGGTCCTCGCATGTGCAGCAGAGACGCTAACTCTGCTTGCTCAGGGCTGCAGCTGCAATGGATGCAGGGAGAGAGGTCCTGGGGACAGAGCCTGCCCGCAGGAAGTGCGGTAGGATTGCTGGCGTTTCTGCCGCTGTGGAGAGTTAGACCTCAGTGTCTTTCTCCTAAGCTCCAGAGGAGGAGCACAAAGACTTGGTGCTGTCACCAGCTTCCCAAGCCGGGTTTCTGTCACCCATTTCCAAGCGCTGAGGTCAGAGTGTGACTCACTCCATGACTCCTGCCTCAATGTTTCCAGCCACAGGAGGCCGGGCCGGGGCCCGGTGGGGACATCCCAGGTGACCCTCTGCTTCCAGCCTCCCTCCCAAGAGCCGTTGGGGAGCCTCCCGGGCGTGGGTGGTCACAGGGCTGCCTCCCGTGACACAGGGCCGCAGGAGGCAGCAACTGAACACGGCTCACATGGAAACAAGGCCGTGGGTGCCTGAGTGGGTCACGCTGCCTGGGCACGGGCTCCAAGCTGAGCAGTCCCAGCTGGGGAGAGGAGCGGCCTGGCTCCGTTGCATCCAAGGCACAGGGTGGAGGAGAGGAGAGGAAAAGACGAGCGGGGAGAGAAGGGTGGGCGCAGAGAGGCTGTGTCTGACCCTTAGAGCTCTCTGAGGCCAGCTCGATGGTGTCTTGGGGACGGGGTGGCCACCAGGGGAGCCCTTGTCCTCCACGGCAGCCCTGTATCCAGGAGGGAGGCAAAGGGGTGACTTCTGTGAGTGCTGGGCTGGGGCTGGGTGCAGAAGGTGAGGATAATTTCCAGATTCCTTGCAGACAGCCAGGTCCTGTCCACTGCCTGTGACTGCGACAGGTACTTCTGGTGGCGAAATCCGAAAGGTGGGGTGTCCTTCAGGGACAGACTGACCTTGTTTGTTTGATCAGCCTCGCCTCTTATCAGCTGCACTATAAACAGCGTAGGACATGGTCAGCACCCAAGAGGGATGACACGTGGCCCAACGCTTAAGAGCCAGGAGAGAGTGGGGTAAGCCAGATGTGGAAGGTGAAAGAGAAAGAGGTTGGTGGTATGAAAGGGCTGGGCCAGGCCTCTGTGTCCTGATCAGCTGCACTGGTGAAGCTTAAAAGCAGCTCTGAGCGGATGGGAGGGGAGGCAGCGCTGGACAGAGGAGCCCTGGTTTGCAGCATTCGTCCTGGTACCCGTGTTCCCAGTGTCCCTAGTGCCGAGCTGGCCACCCACAGCACCTGGCAAATGCATCCCCAGCCCAAGCCTTGGCTGTGCCTTTCACTGCTATGGGCTGCAGCAGCCGCAGTCCCTGCTCAGAGCCACACCCTTCAAATGCAGGGGGACTGGGGAGGGGCCATCCCAGCGTAAGCTGGGCTGTCGGCAGTTGGGTAGGAGCTCCTTAAGGCTCAGTTTCCCTTCCTGTGGGGTGCTCCGGTGAGGCAGCAGGGAGACATCACACAGCTGCCTTCTTGTCCGGATACCCGTGGCCCTGTCTTCCCTCTGATCACCTCAACTACACCCTCTGGGAGAGGCGAGGGAGTGAGGCCCACGTGATCCCAGCAGTCGGAGTATCTTGCAAGGTCGAAGCTGTATCCTGCTGAGGTCGGCAGCTCCAGGGAGCCACCAAAGTCCCTGTTCTCTCCCAGAGCTAAACGTCAGTTCCCTTCCTCACCCTGGATTCCCTGCCGGGGAAGCCCAGTGGGCCTTGCCTGGCGCCCCTCTCTGCAAAGTCTCCTCTCCAGCCTCTGCAGAAGTGTCTGCGTTCCCCAAAGCTTTCCCTGCCAGACTTCACCCAGGGTCGCCTCACTACCTGCTTATAGTAGGATGGGAACAACTTCAGGTGCTGCCAGAGAAGCCAGATGAATTCAAACGCTGAGGAAAAGGGGGAAAGGGAAAACGGAAAGGCATGGACAGACAGAGACAGTGAGGGGCAGGGGACGGAGCCCTGGAGTGCAGATGGGACCTGGCTCGTGTGGGCTCACTGTGTGGTGCACGGGCTGCTCCCCCCAGTCTATTCCCCGTGGGTGAGGATGGGAGATGCCACCCACTGTCACTTGCGGAGTAGGAGCCACCGAGGTCTGGCGGTGTGTGCACTTCCTGATGCTTGTGCTGTGCTAAGCTAGGGGGCAGCAGGGCTGCAGCCCTTCCGCAGGCACGGGGACTGTGCCCACGTTACACCCAGCCCTGCTCCGCCATCTCTGCTCCTGACATCCTGTCTCCCTCTCTTCCTGATGCCACGGGGCCCGCGTGGACGAGCCAAGGCCCCGGTTGAAGCACATTGGCACGGTCTCCTTAGCTTCATCGGCTGGGGTAGGGGTGGGCCTGGGGGGCTCAGCAAAGTGCTGGAGCATGATTGGGGGCAGAGCGTGTGCAGGCTTGACCTCAACAACGGTGAAGACCTCGGTCACCACACTCCCAGTGTCCCCTTTTGGTATGGGCTGGGTGGGGCAGGGACAAGGCCCTGGACCTGGAAGTCTGGACACTCACAGTTTGGATGCTGCTTGGACAATGACTTCCCGTGGGACCCGGAGCTAGAGGAGGCTCCCTGTCCCTTCCTTGGCTGTTGTGGCTCTCACAGCAGAGACGAGGGTACCTGTGCATGCTGGGTGCTGTGTCATCACTGGCAGTGTGGATGGAGGGAAGGGATGGTTGCCTCAGAGGCAGGGGGCTCACATGGATTCCCAGAGTGACGATCAGCAGGTTGGAGTCTGTGTGGGGAAGGGACAGAGTGTTGTAAGTCAGGGAAACCTTTGATGGTGCTGGACCAGCTGTCACTGGCTGACCCTGACCTCTGGCTTTTTGATTTGTGCATTTGCCAGGCTCAGTTGTTTGCTAAAGCAAAAGTCAGGTGCTTTGTGGCCAAGACCAAGGCCATGCCAGCAGCTCAGAAGGGCTACTCTGGAATTGCTGATACCCGATAAGCCCTGGTCAGACTCGAGTGCAGAAGGGCTCCATGCTCCCTTCCAGCAGCTCCCAGAGCCCACCCCAGCCATGGAGAATACCCTACTGCTGCCAGGAGACCCTGTTATTATACAGTGTTTACATGTATAGTATTGAGGCATCACACAGCACCACATAAATATGTCTAAGTTTTATGAAAGAGAACAGTGATGCTCAACAACTAGGCCACACGCACACACCAAGAGCTCCCACTGGAGACTTTATTCAGGGAGTGGGAGTAGAGAGAGAGAGCAGAGAGAGAGAGGAGGAAGAAGAAGAGGAAGAGAAGAAGGGAACAAAGAAAGGAAGGTCCTTTTATCAGTTTTGGGCTGGGCTATTGCTTATTTATGAGGAGTGAGCCACTTCTAACCTATCACAGGCCAGATTGTTTTTATGGGCCCAGTCCTGCAGACACAGGTTTCACCTTCCTGGACCACTGTGGCCTTGGCGGGGAGGGAAACCAGAGATAAGGGCATGAGGTCATTTTAGGAGCCAAGAGGTACCAGGAGAATGCAGCCTGTGAGGAGGCGTCACAGCGTACTTTAACATGATGAGTTCCCTAACAAGTTTTATAGTTCATGTATCAGTTAAAAATACATTTAATTTAAAGGAAAGAAATAGCATACGATTTGGTAGTCACACTATTAGGTATAGTTTCCAAAGAAAATGAAATCAGATTTTGAAGAGACTGTTCACCGCTGCCAAGACGGGAAATCACCCTATTTGACCATTGAGCAGTGCAGGTAAGAAAAATGTGCCATATACAAACAAGAGGATGGTATTCAGCCATAAAACAGCATAGAGTCCTGTCATTTGTGGCAACCCGAGGACATTGTGTTAAATGAGAAAAGCTAGGCACAGCCACACAACACTGTCTGTTGTCACTAATGTGCAGAGAGCATGAAAATTCCTTTCCTAGAAGCAGGGAATGGACTGGAGGCAGCAGGAAGCTGGGGGGTGGGTGGAGAGAGGCTGTAAACATGTACAAAGTCACGGCCAGATAAGAGAGGAGAGTTCTGGCGGTGGTTCAGAGCACTGCCGGGAGGCTATAGTTAATAGTAATTTGTTGAACATTTCAAAAAAGCTAGAAGAGAGGTTTTGAATGTTTTTACCGCGAAGACATGACAAAGTGATGTATATGTTGGTGTTTATTACTCTGGTAGGGCCGTGGTATAATGGACTATCACACTGTGCCCAGTGACTATGCCTGGAGTGGATAGTACTCAATAAAAATAAAAACAGCTACAAAGTCTGCTGCGTATAATATACCAATATCATTTTCAATAATACAGTAAAATCCTAGAAAGCCACTGCCCAGGAGAAAGCAGACAGTGTCCCGTGCCATCACTGTGGTCCACCCCATCCCTGCCCCTGGCTCCTCCTGACCAGGCAGCTGCCACTTCCCTTCCTCCTCTTTGACTGGTTTGTACTCCTTCAAATAGTTTTGGTTTTACTTATTTGAAACTTTAAAAAAGAATACTATGTATATATTTTTGTGGGGCTTGGAGGCAAGATGGCGGAGTCAAAGTCAGAGACTGACAGGGTGTTACCAAGCGGCCTGTGGAAGCTTCTGGAATATTCTTTGTTTCAGTGTGTGGTGCTGAGGTATCCCTTGATAATAAAAATCTGAAAGATACTAGCGATCTTTTTAAATGGTGAGGGAGAAAAACAAGGAGGCAAAGCCACTTTGACAAAGCCAATGGTGAAGTCACTTGTCTGAGGTGGCACGATGGTCCTCCCAAGCTTGTGCCTCGCTTGACTCATCCATGGGATATCTCAGGGCAGTAGGACAAGGACACGGGGCTCACTGGATTCTTTTTCTCTCCCCACTGCAGAGCCCCAGCCCTGGGTGTGTCCCCTACAATGGCCACCACTGCTTCCCCTGTCCCCCTCAGCACCGAGGATGCTACTGCTGAGAATAGCACCTCCTACTACGACTATGACTACCTGGACTCGGCGGTGTTCCTGGTGTGCAGGAAGGATGATGTCCAGTCCTTTCGCCTTGTCTTCCTGCCAGTCTTCTACAGCCTGGTCTTCGGGCTGGGCCTGGGAGGGAACCTGCTGTTGCTTGTGGTCTTGCTCTGCTATGTGCCCCACCGGCGGATGACAGAGGTCTACCTGCTGAACCTGGCCATCTCCAACCTCCTCTTTGTGGTGACTTTGCCCTTCTGGGCCATCTCTGTGGTCTGGCATTGGGTCTTCGGCAGTTTCCTGTGCAAGGTGGTGAGCACCCTCTACACCATCAACATCTATAGCGGCATCTTCTTCATCAGCTGCATGAGCCTGGACAGGTACCTGGAGATCGTTCACGCTCAGCCCCTGCACAGGCTGAGGACCCGAGCCAAGAGCCGGCTCCTTGCTGCCCTGGTGTGGGCCATGGCGCTGGCTGTCTCTGTCCCCGAGATGGTCTTTGTGAGAGTACATGAGGACCCTCAGGGAGAGTGGAGCTGCCACCCAGATTTCGGGGGGCATGGGGCTAACTGGAAGCTCTTCCTCCGCTTCCAGCTGAACGTGCTAGGTTTCCTCCTTCCCCTCTTGGCCATGATCTTCTTCTATGCCCGCATCCGCTGTGTCCTGGTCAGGCTGCAGCCCCGGGGCCGGGGCCGGGCGCTGAGGATAGCGGTGACCCTGGTGGTGGCCTTCTTCACCTTCTGGTTTCCATACAACCTCACCTTGTTCCTGTACTCGCTGCTGGACCTGCAGGTCCTTTGGGACTGCCAGATCAGCCGGCACCTGGACTATGCCATGCAGGTGACTGAGAGCCTGGCCTTCCTCCACTGCTGCGTCACCCCCGTCCTCTACGCCTTTTCCAGCCACCGCTTCCGCCAGTGCCTGAAGGCTCTGCTGGTCACTGTGCTCCGAGGGTGCCTGGCGCCTGGCTTCACCCAGGCTTCACTGTCCAGGGGATCTGAGAGCAGCAGTCTCACCACACAAGAGGACGTGACCGGCCTGAACGAACTGGCAGAGGGGCAGGCTGAGGGCTCCCTGAACCAGGAGGACATGGGGAGTAACTGAGGCCAGGCCATGCCAGCCTGGTGCAGGCCGAGGACACCGCTCGCGTGGGCTTCCGCCCAGAGCACCCTTCCTTGGGCCCCCAGTGGCCAATCCTCAGCTTTCCGTGGCTTCTTCCCTTGGGCCTGGGGCCCCCCTGCACCCACCTGCGTGGCTGTCCCTGAGGCGTGCCAGCGGCTACAGCGAGTGCGGCACCCTTGGCCATCTCACTGTCCTCCCGCCAAGTGACAGCCCGGGTCCCTGTGGAGATCCTCCGAGGGCTCCTGGAACACCTGCCCCCCAGCCGGGCCACAACCCCCTCCTGCCTGTGCTGCTGGGACATCCTTTCGTCTGAGCTGTTTCTCGGGACCCAGGCTCGTTCCCCAGGGATTCCAGCAGTGCCCCTGTCCTGGCTGCTGTCCCAGGGAAGTGTGGCCTCTCCCTCTCCCCCTAGGCCTTGCCTCAGACGTCTCCTCTGTGAGATGCCTGCATCTGCCCTATCGACACCCACCTCGCTGCCTCTGTCGTGTCTCTCCTTCTTCCTCTGCTTTGCTTCTCTGGACCTCTTATCTCTTTCTTGTCTCGTGTTTCTCCCTGCTGTCCCCAGCCCCCATTCCAGGTGAGCTCCAGGGCCAAGCACTGCACCTGGGAAGCCCTGGGATGGCGCAGCTGGATCTCTCTGCCCTGTGCTTGGGTGGAAGCTGGGCAGAACCAGGACTGAGAGCAGGACGGTTCGGATCGGTGTCCCCATGTGCCCAGGGTCAAGGGTCTGGTCCCCAGGATGGCATTAGCAGAAGCGGAGCAGGTAGGAGGTCCCTGTCACGAGGGGCAGACCCTTGGGGGGCACTGTGAGGTTGCAGCCTTTTCCTTTCTTTATTTTTACTTCCTGGCCAATGAAGCGATGGTTTGCTTTGCCACATGTGAGGCCCAGAGCCTCCCCCAAACTGTGAGCCCAAATGGAAGCTTTTTGGATCACAATCAGATTATTTGAGATACTGGGATCACCACGCACCCTATATACACCCTAAGCACACCAACCACAGCCTTCCTCTGCCATACTCCAAAGATGCGTCCGTGGAGGACATGGGATCCAGGCCAAGCAGGGGCCTTCAGGGGCATGAAGAGAGGTGAAAACCCAAGAAAGGAGGGTGACAGGATGCTCCCCCAGGTTTCTAAAGCACCCACTGCTTCGTTCCAAGTCACGGGACCACCCAGCACGCTGCCCTCCTGGTGACTTCTGACTTGAGAGACTGAACCAGGAGCCCAGTGCCTGGAAAGGACGGAGGGTACAGGGATGCAGGAGCGGGTACAGGTCCTGAGGGTGGTTAGCAGATGGCAGGGAGGTGAGCACATGAGACTAGGGACATTGTCACAAGGAAAATCTGCCCCCCATGCTGCCTCTTGTGCTCAGGAAGCAGTGGACTTTCAGAGTTCCTTTTGATATTTTCACTCTTAAAATGTTTTTCTCTCTTTTCTTTCTTTCTACTTTTCTTTCTCTCCCTCAGCCAGTACCAGACATCAAACTCAGGACTTTGCATTTGCCAGGTAGGCACCAGTACCATGGAGCTAAATCCCCAGCCCCTGTTTTCTTTCTTTTCAAAAATCTCTCTCTTCACTCACTTTGGAGTGGATGCCTGGTAGACGGGATTGAACAGTGTCATATCGGTCTGCTCTTGTCTTTCTCGAGCTTTAGGAAGTGTTCCCAGAGCATGAATGTCCTGGGATTGTGTCCCCTGAGTGGAGTGAGTTAGCTCTACTGCCTCAGTTGTCCCCTGAGAAACCAGACTCCCCTTCCTCAGGAAGGACCCGGAGCTCCCTGGTTCTGGCATGGAAGCTGCCGCTGTGGAAGTGGCCGTATGCATGGCAACAGGGTAGACAGATTCCCTTTAGGGCTCTTCAAATATGGCCAAAGGGAATCCTGTCCTCTCACAGGCCAGGGTGCAGAAGAAACCATCTGAGTTGTCTCAGAATGGTCTGGTGCCCATAATGGCTGTGAGTGGCTCAGGGAAGCCAGGTAAGGGTGATGGACAGGCTTGTCACCAGCTTTGGTGGACGTGTGCCCGTGCACATGTGCTGGTTTGTGTGTGTGCCTGCCCGCCCTGTGTGCACATGTGTATGCGTCTGAATTCTGTCTGCACAGTGTGTGTGTGTGTGTGAACACGCATGTGTGCATCCATGTCTCGAGAGGCCTGACGTAGCCAAATGGCTGAGCTGTGTAGAAGCTGCTGATGTAGACCCGGTGAGCTGTGTCCCTGTGGCCTGGGGTAGGACGCAGCCATGGGTTTCCTCTTTGTACCCGCGTGATCTTCTCTACGTAGATGTAGACAGCTGTACCCCGAGTTGCTCTTGCAGCTGTGCCCAGATGGGGTGGGGTGTGGCTGCAGGTCCCCTTCGTCTTTCTCCTGTCTCAGGGTCCAAGCACAGAAGTGCTGGGCTCTCGCCTGAGTCCACTCCAGTCTGGCCCTTGGTCCCTCCCTGCTCCCTGAGAGGTCTGAAGAGAGCACTCTGTCTGCTCTACACGAGCCTCCCCAGGGCTCGCAGGTGAGGCTCCCCATGGCCTTGGGAAGGGACACCCGGTGGGCAGTGTGTGACGGCCTTACCCCATCGGGGCTGCCCTCCAACTTCGCGTGGTGCTTAGGGAGTGTCCTGGTGCCGCTCCTCACGGAGACAGTACGTCCTTCCCTTCCCTGGCGCTCAGGACCATGGCAATTGAGAGCTGAGCTGCAAGCTTTTCTCCCTGGCCTCGGAGGAAAGTGGCGAGAGGAAGGATATGGTGCAGAAAGGAGGACCTAGGGCAGGGCTGTCAGGTCAGGGGTCTCCATCTTCCTGCCTCGAGGCAGCTGTCAGGTCTCTCCAGCAGTGCCCTTATGTAGCACTGAAACGCAGTGTGGCGTGCAGTTGGGCATTGGGCTTCACTGCTGCCCTCCCTCTAGCTGTACCTTGCAGCCCCTACCCTGGGGAGTTCCCGGATGTGTGTGGGGTCTGTCCCAGTGTCAGCCTCGCTCCTGACTCAGGCTCAGGCTCTCAGCTGACCTGCAGGTCCCGGACCAGGCTCCGGCTCTGGGATAACTGGGGTGTGGGGAATGCAGGTGACTCAGCACTGAGCCTGGGTAACCACAGGAGGTCCTGCCTTCCCTGAGCGCTGTTCCCTCTCCTGGGCCAGGTCTCGTCACAAATGTGGTGACTTAACTTCCCTTAACTTCTGTCCTGGGGTGCCCACACCTGCCTCCTCTTCCTGCTGCTGTCGTTGAGGAACGGTGAGGGGAATCCCAGCCTCCCAGGCTGCACGTGACTCAGTGGACTGCAGCAGATGCCATCACATGTGAGCAGCCAAGTCCAGAGAAGCAGCGATGAGGCCTGGGTCACACAGATCCTTGGGGACGGACTCCTGCCCCTGAGCGAACCCCACCCACTAAGAGCCTGCCATCCTGACGACGCCCAGCCCAGAACAGACACCCGGGAGGAAGGAAGAGCTGTCTGAGGTGGGTCAGGAATGGCAGCGAGAAGCCCTCCGGGGGCTCCCCTAGGGACATCGTGCGGCTGGGCCCCTCCTCCAGCAGGCTCTCTGCAGCTCCCACCATCTGTCCTCCTCTGTCCCGGCCCAGCCAGGGCCCAGGCTTCAGCAGCCACAGTTGAGCAGCCACACTCCCCACTGCACCCCGACCCCGGAAGCGTGGCTGGCAGTGTGCACAGCCTCCATCCACTTCATGGGCCAGAAGCTTGAGACTGGAGCGGGGCAGGGAGGGAGGGAGCACACAGAGTGTCAGCTGAGAAGGGCTGTCGCGATTCCGACACGTAAAGCACAGTGAGGGACTTCAGGCCGGACGAACGGAAGCGATATCACAAACGGGCAGTTCTAGGGGAGGCTTTGGGGCGGGAGGAGGAACCGCAACGCAGAACAGAGTGACACATACAGCTGTGCTGGGTTACCCAGTATAGATGACCCAGGGAGAGAAAGGCCTGGCGACGGGATGGGAGGGATCCCAGAAGGATCACCAGAGGGGTCACCGGGGTGAGCAGTGAGGCAGCGCCCCCGACTCAGGGCTGCTCCACTGCAGAAGGCTGGCAGGCTGGAGCCACAGTGCTTGGGGACACGGGACCACTGCGGCCCAATCCAGTGTCAGGTGTGTGCCTGTCACAGGAGGCAGAGAGCAAAAGGGTGGTGACGGGAGGGCTTTGGGAGCTGTGGGTGCTCGGGGCAGCAGGTCTGGAGCAGAGAGAGCTGCAGGGGCCACACCTGCGGTGTGAGGCTGGCATCACGGCTGGGCCAGAGGGACACAGTGCAGAGGCATCAGGGGGCTGGGGACACAAAGTCAATGAGCTAGGGGACCGAGAGAAGGATGGAGGGTGTTTCTGGTGTCTGCCCTGGGGATTGCTGGAGGGTGACCCAGCCCAGAGGGGCAGGGAGAGCAGGAGGAGGATGGCCCTGGGCAGACAGAGGACGCTCCTGAGCTGTGCAGGGCCAGGATGAATCTCAGTGCGGTGACACCGCATGGGCAGATGGGAGACAGCTCTGACTCAGCCGTGGCTGTGGAGGCCAAGGCAGGCTTGAGAGTACTGAGGGGCTCGGTGCAGGTGGGTGACAAGGCCAGCACCCTCACCTCACACACCTGGGACATCAAGGCAGCCACCAGCCACCCGAGTGTGTGCGGGGCCGGTGATGTGGCTGTTCTGGGCTGGGCAGTGTGCGAGGTAAAGCGCAGCCCAGATTTCCAACACAGGGCACAAGAAAAGCGATATAAAATAGATCATTGCTATTAGATTGGTCACATGCCAAAATGTACATAATTTGGAAGCATCCAGTTATGTTTTAATAGATTATAAAATGAACTTTATGATTTTTGACCTTTTCAAAATATGTCTCAGAAAGTAAAAGTTGCACCTTTTGTTCCCCATGTATTACTATGGGACAACACTGCAGATCCTGAAGTCCACAGGATGTGGGAGACAGCGTGGAAGGGAGAGTGGATTCCCAGGCTTGCCAGGCGCCATGTTACCCATGGGGCAGGGACAGTGGGGATCCTCTGCATAGGCTTGGCCCCAGACACTCCCCTGGCACTGTGCTTCCTGTACCAGGAGGGTTCTGCAGAAGAACAGAGAGGGAGACAGGCAGGACACAGGGAGGGGCGCCAACCAACCAGGGGCTGGGCTGGCCGGGGAGGGGGAAAGCAGAGGGGTGAGCGGAGGTGGATTTCCCAGCTCCCTCCTAGCCAGGATGGGCCGAGCTCAGTCCATGGGCTTCAGGCGGTAGCGGAAATGCACCTCATGGCTGGGCTGTGTGATGCCAAAGCCCCAGCGCCCTGGGTCTATAGGGGGCACTGGGGTGTCAGGCTCCACCAGCTCCAGATCAAAGTAGGTGACCATGAGCAGAACAAAGAGCTTCATTTCACTAAGGGCTAAGAACCGGCCAGGGCAGATGGACACGCCCGAGCCCCAGGGCATGCTGTAGTGGTGGATCTTCTTGCCCTTCTTATAGAAGTCCACTTTCCGGCTGCCATTGGGGTTGAGGAACCGATCAAACTTGAAGGTGCAGGGCTCGGGGTGGATGTCAGGGTCCATGTGCACAGACAGGTAGGGGAAGAGGGCCACTCTGTCTCCACGGCGGAGGAGGTACTCGTGCCCGCTGGCCATCTTCAGGGTGCAGTCTTCCTGCACCACCCTGACCAGGGTGGGTGCAGCTGCCAACCTGAGTGTCTCCTCCATCACACTGTCCAGCACAGGGGTGCGCCCCAGGGCACTGATCGGGAGGACGAAGGACTGCTTGGCTTCTAGCTTGGTCCCACGCAGGACCTGGGCAGCCTCGTCCTTCACAGCCTGCATGGCTTCTGGGTGCTTCAGGAGGAACAGGAGGGCCCAGAAGGAACTGGGCCCCATGTTCCCCTGTGAGGCCCACAGCATCATGAAGCTGAACTTGGCTAGCACAGCTGGGGTGGTTCCCCACTCGCTCAGATAGCGGAGCATGTGTCTCAGCCAGTTGCTCATGCCCTCCTCTTTCTCCTGGTTGTGTCTCACAGAGAGCATCTTGTGAAAGAGACACTGGAGTTGGCCCATTTCGAGCCTTTCCCTGGGTCCCAGCAGGGAGTAGAGAAATCTGGGCAAAAGAATGTCAAACCTGCGAAACTTCTTGAACACCTCCTCTGCCTGTAGCAGGTCCTGCTCCTTATCCTTGGTGCAGCCAAACAAGCTCAGGTAGCCAGCCTTGAACATGATGTTGTAGCAGAAATGAAAGAGCCCATCCTCTTGCCAGTGGGTGGCACCCAGTTTCGGGTCTCCGGGCTCCAGCAGCACCAGAGATAAGCAGTCCAACACGGCCTGGTTGAGGTCCTTCAGCCCGTCCCCCATGAGGTACTTGGTGCTGGCCGTGTGTATTATCTGGTAGTCACCCTGCAAGCGCTGGTATCCATATACCTTTTGCACCACCTCTTCGGCATACTGCACAAAGTCCAGTTTCTTCTCTGTGTTCTTGATGATGGGCCTAAACGAGAGGGGATCCATGACGAAGGTGAAGAACTCACCCCCCAGTAGCACTGTGAACACATCTCCATCTTTGGCCCATTTTCCCCTCAGGAACTCGAACATGTTCTTCTGGAAAGCCATGGCATGGCCCACCCAGGGTATACAGCCCTTATCCAGTGGGGGCTCCTGGGGCCTGCGTTGTCGGAGGAGCCCTGGCAGACACAGGTAGGCCACGATGGCCACCAGCATGGCACCCAGCACCAGGCCCCAGATCACCATGGCTGTATTCCTGCAGTCAGCTGTGGACAGACCCGTGCTGTCTGGGAGCAAAAGGTCTTTGCCAGGCCTTTAGTAGCTGGGCACAGAAAGGTCAGCCCACTTGGACTTTGCACTGTCAGTGCAGAGTGTGATAAATGACCCTAGTGTGTTGGCGCCTGGGTAAAAAACATTCTTCCTATGTAATACGTGGGCGAGTGTGGCCGTAGGAGGTGACCAGCAGGCAGCTGTGGGCACGGCCTCGTCACTGGTGCTCACCAGTTTCTGCCCTTTGAGACTCAGCCCTGGTCTCTTTTCGCTATGCCTGACTTGAGCCCACTCTTCCTTCCAACCTACAGACCATGCCTTTACTTTTCAGTCCTTCCTTTAATTTCTAGCTGAATTAGTAGACTGTGCCATCTGCTTATAATGTTACATCTGTGTCTTCGTCTTTTCTGAAAGGCTGGACATAGGCTCCCATTCCTCACATCTCTCCCTGCAGTGGGACCGCACCTCCCCTGCCCCACTCTTTCATATGTGAAACAGAGGGCAGTGCCTTATGGATGCTGCTGGGAGGCAGGAAACATAACACATGGGAAGACCTTCAGTGAGTGCTCCACGGGGCAGTTACCTCTGGGTCACTGTGTAGGGAGCAGTTCCCTCAGTGTCGCGGGGGTGGGGCAGTTACTGCTTCTTCCAGGCCTTGAGTTAGCCTGTGCTTGTCTCCCACCCTCCCCCAGTCCATCTTTAGTTTTGGTCTCCACAGTGCTGACGGGATGGAGCCTTGTTACCGTCCTGTCTGCTTCTGGCTCCTACACAGTCAGAGGCCTAGAAGAGTCCCTGCACAGCTGCTTTGGAAATCTCACCCCAAAAGGAAGCAGTGTGGATGCTGCCCTGGGAAGAGGTGCAGTTGGACAGGTGCTCCCTTTACTAAAGGTGAGTGTGAATGAAGAGTCTGAAGGGCCCCAGACCTTCGGGGCTGAGGGCTGTGCCAGCTGAGGCCAACTGCCCTGCCTGACCCCTTCCTCCACTGGGAAGGCGCAGTCTGAGCATCAGGAGATGGCGCCGGTGACAGGAACCTGAACCAGTCACTGTGGGCCCACAAGGACCTCTGAGCTCTGCTCAGGGTGAGCTCAGGACTTTCTCTCTCAGCTGCCCTGCTGTCATGGAGGTGAGCTGCCCATCAACCAGGGTCCTTCTGTGAGGAGGGTCTGTTTGTGGTGATGCCATTCCCCGCCCAGAGGCATCGAGGGAGAAAGCTGCAACTCCGACCCCCAGCTCTAGCTGAGCAGCCTTGCGTGGTTACAGTAAGTGTGCTCCATGCCGGCCTGAAGCAGCCCCCACAGCCCTCAAGTCGTTCTTTAGCTCTGTCACCTGGAGATGGAGCAGAGAGGGACCCTGGTCCATAGCCCTCCTGTTGAGCTTCCTTTTTCTGTCAGAGAGCTGGAAGCTTCCCCAGTCTGCCTCCAGGAAGCCCTCCTCCAATGCAGGCAGAATTTAGCAACGCCAACTTTCCCTCAGTATTCATTCATCAACTGTGGGCCACATCCACCAAGCTGTAATTTCCCCCTACGCCTGAATGGATGGGGTGTCATTTTATATTTACTGCATTTCATGTTGTTGGTATTAGGAATAGAACTCGGTGCCTTTGCAGAGCTACATCCACAGTCTTTTTCTCACTTTTATTTTGAAGCAGTCTTGCTAAGGGTCTTCGTTGCCCAGGCTGGGCTCCATCTTGGATCCTCCTACCTCAGCCTAAAGGTGTGAGCCAGCACTCTAGGTTTACATTCATACTCAACCTTGCTTCCTTCCTTCCTTTTTTTCCTTCCTCATCCCCGGGGAGGTCCCATCCAGCAGTGCAGTGCCCTCAAGTTCACTGGGATCCAGAGGCAGGAACTCGGCCCTGTTGCAGTGAGACGCAGCCCTGCACTGTGGGCCTCTGGGGTTCAATTTAGGACAGGGCTGGAAGGCATCGCCCCAAAGACCAGAAGACTTTAACTAGCGTTGGGTTCCCTGCTGCACAAGCTGGGAGAACTGGAAGCCGCGCCGCTCGATGACTACGGGAGGACGCTAGAGGGCTGGGGCTGAGGGGAGACAAGGCTGTCCCAGAACCAGGAACCCAGGGACAGGGCAGGGACAGGGTCAGCGCAGATGCAGAGGCTGAAAAGGGGATTCCCGCAAGGTCTTTGCCGGGCGGATACGGTCTGGTCCCTGGCCATCCGCGCCTGTCTGTCCTTCGCGTCCTGGATCTGTACTCCTCTGCGAGAACCAGAGAGCAGAGGGGGCTTCACAAGCGCTGGAGGAGGTCAGAGTCACCAACGAAGCGTGGGTACAGCCTAGAGCGGCTAGCACCGGAAACAGTCTGGCGCACTTCCGGCCGCGCAGACTACTGCGCTACAGTACAGCTGAGGGGTCTTTGTCGGGGCAAGCGTTCTCTAGAGAACTTCGAGTCGAGCTGTTTCTCTGTCTGCGGAGTCATGGTAAGGGAGCACGTGCAGTGCTTTACTTTTCCTCCTGCCTTTGGTATTTGTGGCTTTCCCAGCCAGGCCGCAGTTTTGTTAACCTGAGATGTGGTGGGGGCCGCTTCCTCCTGCAGCGTGGGCCTGGCCTCCTTTCCTGCTGGCCCGATTGGCACATTCTATGATGAGAGGCAGATTCATTCATTCCATATGTGAGCAACAGTAGATCTCAGAGTTCACTGAGCAAAATGTATACCATGTGTAGGTCCAAGAAAGTCATTGAAGAGTGAGACTCAAGGTTTCTATTGAGGGACTGGTCGTGGTTGGAGTCTTAGTTATTTTCTCAATACTGGGACATAACACATGGGAATAACACATAATACTGGGACATAATACCGACACCCACAAGTTAAAAGAGAAAAAGTTTCCTTCCCTCAATTTGTAGAGGATTCAGCTCTTTTTTTTTTTGTTTTTTGTTTTTTGTTTTCTCCAAGGCAGAGCAGCCTGGCAAAGGTTCATGGTAGGCAGAAAGGCACAGCATTCAAGGCAGGAGAGATCTGTGTATTTACCTATCTAGGCCTAGGCTGTGATCTCACTGTTCTTTATTCATTCACCAACTTTACCTCCTACCATTCTACTCAGCTATAAACTCTCCAGTGGACTATTCTAGTAACACACTCACATGCTCTGATAACCTCCTAAAAAGCACATCTATGAACGCATGAAGGCAGAGGAAGCATGTAGATATAAGTCATAGCATTCTCTCTCTGGCTCCTAAAAGACTCATAGGCATGGCCTTTAGCAAAAGGCATTAGTTATTCTCTGGGAGCTTCCCAAGTCAACACAGTTGCAGCACTGCTGAAAAGTTCAAGTCTGAGATTTCAGGTAAGTGGTCAACGGCAAGCCCTTATAAAAAGGGAAAGAAAGTTAAGCACTTTCATCATACACTGGCAGGGATACACATTCTATTGCAAAAGGTAGAAATGGCATAGGAAGGAACAGGACCAAACTCCAGCAGGGAAAGCATTAAATCGAGTAGTTCCTTTTGCAACAGCAGGGGCAGTCCACACTCCAAGGGCTTGGGTGACCCCACCGCTACAGTACTGTCAGTGGTTGCAGTTCTCACAGCTGCTCTCTTGGCCGGTTTTCATCATAAGGCCATAGTGCAATGATAGGTGGCTGAAGAAAAATGTTGACTGTTACGTACAGAACAGGTCATCCTGTACCCTTGATTGTTAAAGTCCTCTTCTGCTGAGGCCACGCTTTGGTGACCATTTACATGGGACAGAAGTATTTTTACATCCTTTGTAAAGGTCTGTCCCACATACCTCTTCCCCAAGTACCTTTGTCACTAATTTTCCAGTCATATTCCTTGCAGGTTCCAGCCCATCCTGTCAGACCATAGGTTGCAGCTATGAGTCAGTATAGAGTCCCACGTCTGGCCATGTTTTCTTCCAGGAAAATGTACTCCCAGTTTACCTACATGACATTCTCCCCACTATGACTGTTTCCCTTCACCACTGCCCTTCAGAGAGGTCCTGAAAGGGGCTGTAATGCTGCAGCTGTCCACTTGCAGGTGATGCCTGCGTAGCCTAATCATCTGTAAAGCAGACCCTAGCCCTCTCTTCTTCTGTGAGCGTATCATGTGGAATGCCCTATGATTCCACAGATGTGTGCTGGGATGCAGAAGACCAGGTAGCAGGAATAGGAGCCGTGGACATCTGGGCAACTTCTTCATGCAACTTGTGCCCTGCTGACCTGCTCTGGTTCGATCACATATATACCACTTCCATTTAGTGATGGACTGGCCCTGTGCATGTCCAAGTTTTTGGCTTTATGGGTCAGTAATACTAAGCTCACAGTGGGCCATTCAGATCTCATAGTAAGCTGGTATCCCATAGTGAACTGTGCAGTTTCCACTAAGGCCCAGTGTCAGGCCGGGAGGTGTTTTTCAAAGGGAGAGTACTTGCCTGCAGATGATGGCAGAGCCTTGCTCCAAAATCCTGAAGGTCTCCATTGCAGTTAACCATGGGGCCTGCCAGAGACTCCAGACAGCATCTCTACCTGCCACTGCTACTTGAAGTACCATTGCATCTGTGGGGTCACATGTCCCCAGTGAAAGTGCAGCCCAGAATTGCTGCAGAGCCTTCTCTTGTTCTGGGGCCCTCTCAAAACTAGTACTCAGTACCGGGTCACTCAGTAAACGGGCTAGGGTGCGACACCTAGCTGAGGAATGTGTTGCCTCCAAATCCAAAGAGACCCACTAGTATTTGTGCTTCTTTTCTGGTTTTAGGGAGAGCCAGCGTCAACAAAGTAAGTTTTATGTTAGATGCACTATCTCTGTTTGCTTCACACCCCTGGACTGCTACAAATTTGACTGAAGTAGTGGGACCTTGACTTTCAGTTGTATTTATTTCATATGCTCTCACTCGCAGATGCTTTACTCACAGACCCAGAGTGATGGCTACATCCTGCTCACTTGGTCCAATCAGGACAAGACCATCAAGGGAGTGGACCAGTGCAATACCCTGTGGGAGAGAAAGACGATCAATATCCCTGTGAACTGAGTCCGGACACAGGGTTGGAGGGTGAATATAAACCTGAGGTAGGACAGTGAAGGTGCATTGCTGGCTCTGCCAGGTGACAGTGAATTGTTTGTAGTGGGCCTTATGGATAGAAATGAAGAAGAAGGCATTTACCAAATCAATGGCTGTGTACCAGGTACCAGGAGATGTGCTAATCTGCCCAAGCAAGGAAGCCTCATCTGTACAGGAGCTGCTATTGGAGTCATCACTTGCTTCACTTTACAGTAATCCACTACCATTCTCCAAGAGCCATCCACATTTTGCCCAGGCCATATAGGAGAGTTAACTGGGGATATGATGGGGAACACCACCCCTGTGTCCTTCATGTCCTTGATGGTGGCACAAAGCCATGTAATCCCTGCAGGGTTTGTAATGTTATTTATTGCTATTTTACTATTTTAACAGGTAAAGGTGACTCTAGTAGCTTTCATTTATACTTTTGAACCATAGTAGCCTTCACACTACAGGTTAGCAAACCAATATGAGGATTCTTCACAGTGCTAAGTACCTATACCAATTATGCATGGTAGACAGGGAGAAATAACTAGAAAGGCGTTGAGAACCTGCTGGACCCACTGTGCATTGGACCTTTGCTAAATCACCATTGGTTACCTCCCCTCCATAGGCTCCTACTCTCAGTGGAAGACCACAGTGATATTTTGAATCATCTGAAATAAGCATTATTTCAGAAGCAGTGTCCCGTAGTCCCGCAAATGGCTGATCAATTCGCTTCCCCAAGGTAGAGTTACCTTGCGTAGGTACCTCTGGGGTAGAATGGAAGAGGGATTGACCATACAAGGTTTTGGTAGTGCGCCAGGGTGCTTCCTCAAGAGGACCTGGCCACCACTTCATTGATAGGGTTCTGGGAAGTGGTTGAGGGGACATGATTCTTTGTTACTATACAGAAGGTGTCTGACCGTCTGACCTTCATTTCAGTCTCCTGTGTTGTCTTTGCACATTAGCAACGTGCAGACGAGTTTTCAGCCAAATCCTGAGACACATGGCACGGAGTACACTTCCAGTGCAGTCTTTCTTACTAGCGGAAACTACCTGTGCGTGGTCTTTACTGTCTGTGTTAGTCTCAGCATTCTGATCTTCTGAGCTCTGACAAGAATCTCCCCTAATGTTTGGTTCATAGCACTGTAGGGCTCCTCCACCTGGCATCTTCGAAACTTTCCAAAGGTCCTTCAAGCCAGTTCCAAAGGCTTGTGAACCACCTAGTCAGGTACAATCACAGCAGTGGCCTCACTTCTCTGGTTCCACAATCTTTTCTTACTGGGTACCAGGTACCAGGAGATGTGTTAATCATCTCAAGCAAGGAAACATCATCTGTACAGTAGCTGCAATCGGACCCATCACCTGACTCAGTTTACAGTGATCCACCATCATTCTCCAAGAACCATCCACATTCGGCATAGGCCTTGTAGGAGAACTAACTGGGGATAGGGTGGGAAACACCACCTCTGCTTGCTGAAACAAAGTGTCCTACACCCACAATTAAAGGAGGAAAGGGTTCTTTTCACTTACAGTTTGTAGAAGTTTCATTCCATAGTTGGCTGGCTCCAAGGTAGGGCAGCGTGGCAGAGGGTCATGGCGAGGCAGACTGGAAGACACAATAGTCAAGGCAAGTGAGTTACAGGCCATACCTACAGTGACCTGCCACCTCTTAACCAGGCTTCACTTCCCAGCTCACACTTAGCTGTAAACCCATCAGTATCCTAATGCAGTATCCGAAGTCCATGACCCAGTCACCTTCCCAAAGCAGAACAGCAATGTTCTGCTTCTTTGTCTTTGCATGTCTGGTTGGTTGTTCTATTCAGGTCTCAGTTCAAATTTTATCTTGTCCAAAAGTCCCTCTCTTATTAAGTCATGGAAAGAAGTCTCTCCTTTATTTTGTAGCTCACAACCCTATGTTATTTTGTCCAACATGAAGGAATCTCATGTCTTTTTTTAAATATGAAATCTGTCTCCTTCAGTGGTATGCTAACAAGTTGGTACTGAGGTGGAAAAAAATAACCCTCATTTTTAGGATTTGCCAAATTTCATGTTGTACATTAATTTGCCTGCTTACTTTGCAGTTAGGTACATAAGACCTTGGTAATGGTTAATTTTTTTCTCTTTTTGTTTTTTGTTTTTGGTACTGGGGAACAAACTTCGTACATTACACTTGTGAGGCAGGTGGCAGCACCACCAAACTAAATCTTTGGTCCTTGTAATGGATTGTCTTGATTGTCATCTTAATTCATGGAAGAGACACCAGGGAGATGAGTGAAGCAGAGTCCTGGGTGTGTTATGCAGGTGACCTAGGGGACTGTGTCTGATTCCTGACCCCTTACCATCAAGCTCTTCCCCTGTACTCTGCTTCCTGGAAGTCGTGATTTGAGCAGCTTTCCTGTGCCAGGCCCTTCTGCCATGTTGTTTGTGCTTTGGAGTCAGTTGACCGTGGACTGAAACTTCGGAAACCAGGAGCCAAAACAAACATTTTCTCCTTGAAGTTGAATGTGCCAGGTATTTTGTCCCAGCAAAGGCAGGCTGCCCAATAGTCACTAAAGGAGGAACAGGGAAGAGATGTGCATAACCTCCTTTCCTGAGCTTGAGCTGGTGTCTGAATAATCTTTTAGAAGCATGGACTATCATCGCTGTACCCTAAGTCCCGGTACATTGCCTGGTACAGGAGTGAGAAATCTAGAAATATTTTTCCAGTGGAGGAGTAATTGTCCAGTTCCTTCTGTGGTTATTGTTGCTGTTGTGCCATCTACTGAGAATGTTGAAAGCCAGGGAAGAAAGGACAAAAATATATTAAGTTACAAAGCCAAATCCAAAATACATTGAGACTTTTGTATAAGAACCAGCACTAAGTGGATCAGAGCAACAGAAAATGGGAGATATTTGGGCTAGAGAAACAAGATGTAGTGTATGATTCCAAAGTCCATATCAATAAGTAATTTATCGTAGGCTTATTGTTTGCCAGGTAGTAACTCAGACACTAGTACGGAGGAGAATATGGCTGATTTCTAATATCATCCTTCAAAGTGCACCCAGTCTGGAAAGGAAATGAATGCGTATACATCAAGTACATGCTGTGTGGTTCCTCTGCCAGATCCTACTGGATGTCTATCACAGGCGTGAAAATGACAGGAAGCTTTAATTAGACACAACAGCAGATACGAAACCAATCTCTTCATTGGGTGAGGGTCTAGCTTCCCTGGCATTCAGAAAATTAGCTTTCCTGCTGATAATATTGCCTAAGCTAGTTGGGTATTCAGAAATATCACCCAGGTATTTCCAAACGTCCTCCTTTGTCTGAGTGTGTGTACGGGGGTTAGATAGGTATTCTACCGTTGAAGGGACAGTTAGGGTTGTGGAAGGAGAGTAGGGCATGACCTGGGTGGCTGACGGTTGTGTATTTATCGTAAGCTTATTGTGCATTGTGTACCGGAGGAAGCTAGCCCTTGTAGAATAAATACATGCATTCACTATGTGCGCCAGCCCCCATGACCCTTATTGCACCCCGGAAAGAAAGGTTAAGATCCCAATAGTCCTAGATTACATTGGTTAGTGAAACAGTTATTTTAGAAACCAGCTCACCCTTAGGAGTATGTTGGTCTTCTGACCTTGGGGGGAGATTTACTTGAATGCCTCAGGCCTTGAAGTGCATCCTATTATGTGGCAGCTGTTCCCACCATTTGTGGCTTTATGAATAAACCTTTGCTTCACATGACTTTATTTCCGACTTCCCCTTTCTCCTCAGGGGTGGCTTTGGCTGTGAGACAATGTTTCCCTACTTCCCCATTCTTTGCTGGAGTAGAGTGAGAAACCCAGAGGCAGGGGAGGACAAATAGGGGTCCTTGAGGATCCCTGGCCCCTAAGAGACCATCCACCCGATGTTACACTGTCAGGAGAAAGGAACAAAGGGCTGAACTTGTATCCCACCTGGCAGCAAAGTGAAGAAGAAGGCAGTGGGGTGGGAAGTGATGGTTGTTGTCCTTTGGTTTCTCTGGTGGGGAGAGACTGCAAACCCCAGTGAGACCTGAACTACCCTGTCCGGGGGTGTTGTGTCCTGAAGCAGTGCTCTTTGGCTGTTCTTCCAGACGTTGCTCCAGTGTTAGTGAGGCCTAGCATGGAATGGAATGTCTGCCCTTGCCTCAGTAGTGTACAACCTGAGAGAGTCTGGGCTCTTAGTGTGACGATCCCTCCTGTGCTGGTACCTCCCACTTAAATATTCTGTTTAATGATGATATTTGGGACTGTGGCTGTAGACCGCAACACTGCATAGTTGCAGTTTAGAGCTGGCCCCTCAGCAATAGAGTATTCTAGAACTCAGACTTCAATCATCTGCCCCGATTCTTTCCATGGTAGGACTTAAATACAGTTTTAATGTTCTGCAGAGATTCCTGTGTTGGAATTTAGTCCTGACTGTGAGTTATTAAAAGGCTGACATTGTCATCTTTGATGTTTCAGGATGAGTCGTTTGGACAGTGATTGAACCCTGGGTGTTGTGTAAAAAGAGGGAAACTAGACAGACGTACACATTCTCTTTTGCATGTGCGCCTGTGAGTTGCCTCAGGACTTTGCCCATGAGGAAGCCATCGCCAAATGAGGCCATAGACATTGCACCTCCAGAGCTATGAGCCAAAATAAACCTCTCTGTTATAAAGTAACCTGCCTGTGGCATTCTGTTACAGTAATAAAAAATGGACTAATATATTGTGTGTCATTCTTTTGGTGCGTGGGGCAAGGACCTCTGGGGAGTTTACCCACTTGGCTGCTCCTTATTTTCTTTATTTTTCCTGTATTTCTAGTTTTCTTTGTTTGTTTTGGGCTATTGATATTTTTGACTCATAATACGCTGTATGAATGTGTGTTTTCCAGAAAAAATATTGGCAAGAACGAAAATGCGAGTAAACGTATGAGACATTTCCTCTCCTTTTTAGTTTCCTCAAAGGTTATGGATGGAACACTGTTTTAGCCTCAAAGCTCCTTTCTGGGGTCCAAGACTGAGCAGAAATGCATCTTCAGGGTGCCTTGTTCTGAGCTACAATCCTCGGAGCTGCTCTGTCTCCCAGGGCAGTGTTCTCCGTCTTGTCCTGGAGAACCTTGGGGGCTCAGTTGACCCAGTTCTCTTCCTGGTGATCACAAGCGCTGTTCCTTGTCAGCACCCTAGGCCATCAGGGAGGGTCTATTCATGAGCGCCTCCAGCATCCTCTTTAAACCAGAGCAGCCCAGTCCCGCCTTGGGCTCCTTTGCACTGTGACTTTTCACTGGCAGAGTATCTGTAAGTGCTGAGAACAGGGGAGCTATTAACAGCATCGGAGCCGTGGACTTGAATCCTGTGAAACAAACCTCTTCTTCCTACCTTCACCCAAATATGCAGATGGGCAGTAACCAGACCACGAAAGTTGGAGGAGCAGCCCCAGGAAGAAACTTAGTTTTTGCAGTAGCTACTCCTGGGTGTGAAACTACTCTGCAGCAAGCAGTCCAGAAAGAAAGCAATGACCCCTGTCGCAATCGACCTGGAATGCCAAGGAGTTGATTAATAGCTAACATTAACAGATTCCCAACTTTTGAGTTTGCTGGTGAAAAGGAAAGATCAAAGGACAAAGCAGAGACTAACAGTCTGAAAGCTTGACAGAGACTTGGGGAGACTGGCCCGTCCTCCTAAACCCGCGAAGGTCACTGCGCCTGGAGGGTGAACTGCTGACTCACAGCTGCCTGCGCCTCCCTATGTCTGAGAGAGAAACTGTGAAAGCCCCGTTTCCCTGCGCCTCCCTACCCCCGTGCTAAGTTCTGCTTCTGTAAAACTCTGCTTGCTTCTCCGCCCTGCCAATAGAGCGAGAGTAAAATGAAAACAAGCGTAGAATCAGGCTGAGACTCTGGAAGGTGACTTCCGCTGGGCGCCTAGCGTTTAAAGCTGCCTTTCCCTTCGATTCTCCCAGGGCGCTCTCTTCCTTGGTCTGCCTGCCTCTGAGCGCCACAACAATTGCAATTTAATACCAACTGGAGAAAGCCATATGTGCGCCCCTAAGCAGTCGCAGAAGTTGCCCTGCTGCTAGTTAGCAGCCTCCAGCTCCGCAGGCCAAGGGTGCCAGGAAGCCTTCGCTGTTTCCCATGCTGCCTGTGGTTCCCTCCACCCAACCAAGGCGCAGTGCTGAACAGCGTTTGCCTGTCCTGGCGTGGGTGTCCTTCGTGGATCCCCACAGACCTTTACCAGACTGACTCCCGCCATGCCTTGTGGAGCCATTGCCTGTCTTCCACCCTTACTTTGTTCAACTAAAAAGCTAGATTTGCCATTTATTTTCTCGTTTATGGAACAAATAAAACCTGGCCCTTGAAGAAATTAGGCTGCACCAATATGTATCCCCCAGTATTCTAATAAAGAAATAATTTTTTAAAAGTAGCAGGCTCCAAGAGGCGCAAAGACACCATTGGGGTCTGGAGACCATGGATGTCGGGAGACCAGTGAGACCAAGTGAGGTCACAGCACCTCGGTGGGGAAGGAAGGACCAGGGCCCTTAGAATGGACCGGACCACAGCGAGCAGCGCCCTCTGCCGGTCTAGAGTGGCTGAACGCCACCTCCTCTGGCCCGGGTCCTAAACCAGGTAGAGCCCCACCCCACCTTTGGCCCCTGTAGAGGCGTGCTGCTGGGAGGCTGCGGGGCCGTGTCTGCAGGGATGCTGGACACGGTGACTGCAGGCCTTGGAATTGGGGTTGCGTAGCGGGTGCAGTCACCTGGGGACCTGGGGGTGCGGAGGGGTCCCTGTGAGGCTGTTTTGCTGGCCTGTGGCGTTCGGTTGGTTTCTGCATGCGAGGTCTGAATGTTGGGGAGGGGGCTGCATGCGCAGAGCCTCAGGTTTGGGGAGTAGGGGTGGTGTCCTGGCCACTTGCAGGGTGTGGCCTTGGACAGTGAAGCGGGGTCCGCAGTGCATGCGCAGCGGCAGTTCATTAATAAGAATAGAGTGCTTGTCCCAGGCCCGGTCCCTGAAGGTTCTTGGGAAGGGTTGTGGGCCTCCGAAGGACAGAAAGTGTGGCATGCTGAGCACATGGGGTGCTTCTGGCACAGGGCTGGAGGAGCATTTGCAGAAAACCAGGAGAAAGAGAGTCCGCTAGGATGTTTGCTTGAATAAAGAGAAGTCATGAGAGCCTTGTGGCCTATTGATCCTTTATGTCTTTGTAAAGAGGGGCAAACATCCTCTGCAGAGAGTTCCCTGAGCTGTTCAGAACCCAGGAACCCAGCTGGAGTCCTTTCCCACCCCTGGGTGTCCTGCCTGGATCTCACTGAAGCTTGAGGTCTGGGGCCTGCCTGGGGGATTTAATCACATTGTTTCAGCAGTTGGTGACCGGTGAAGGTGTGGTGGTCTACTTCTCTGAGAGGGATGCACTGGCCTGGCCTCAGCACAGCAGGCCCTGTCCAGGGAGGAGATGCTAGAGACCCATGGGCTGTCGCCTCCCTGGGTAAGGGTCAGTCCCTTTGGAAGTTTCCTGGCAGTTTAAAGACTTGAGTCTCTGATAATCCTCAGCTCAGTGGTAGCTTCAGGCTCTAGGATTCTTAGTGACCACAACCTGAGGAGATCCTGGGAAATGGGCCAGTCTGAGATCAGTTTGGGCCTCAGGCAGGACTCCCTTGGCCTGGGATCAGAGTTGCCCTCTGAGTGAACCACTGAGCCCCAGTCTGCACCCCTCAGTTTGGGGGAAACAGCCAGGGTCAGTCATCCTCAGCACTGTTCTGTGGGCACCGTGAGACTTGAGCTGTGCCTCAGCCTCCCCATGCTAACAGTTCCTTGCTATGTTGAGCAGTCTCTTTATGTGAGGGTACTCTTGATTGCAAGTATGAATACCCAGTTCCAACTGGCTGAAAACATGAAAAGGAATTGTTCCATGTAACGGCAAGTCAGTGTAGGTACAGTGGGCTGCAGGTAGAGTTGGATCAGGATTTCAGTTTCTGCTGACTCTCCTCATAGTTGGTGTTGTCTGCAGGTAGTGCTTCTCTTATGGTTTTAAGGTGATTGGAAGTTGTAACCAGAACTCTATTTCTTCATACCTAGAGAAAGAAAGAGCACAGGCTTTCCTCAGTGAAAGTCAAATTCCTATGTATTACTCTAACGAGCCATCTGAAGTCATAGTCCCACTGTAAAGCAGGCATTGTGGCCATGGAAATACTGTGCAGTGACTGGCCTGGCCTGAGTTGCTGATCTGTGTGCTTGTCTCCTGTACAGTAAAGAGGATGGGTAATCTTTTTTGGCTTAGACCAGGCAGGACCTGCCATAGGAGCTGGAGGTGGGATCACTCCTGAGCTGTGTCCCTGGGACATCGTGCAGGGTTGGTGTGAGGAGACAATCCACGTCTTCTGCCTTCTCTCACCTCCTCAGGAGCGCTTCTTATCTCTACCCAAGGGAATTCCCCACCTTTGCTTTGCTTTGGTCAGAAAAGTAACAGCTAAGTTACTCCTTGAGAAGACTCTCACTTGGTGAGCTGTTGGAGACTTCCTTGGAGCACATCTGTTTCTATCCAGATTCACTTTTGTCTTAGAGAACACTAAGGGGTCCTTGTCCCTGCCTCCAGGCACATACAGAGGTGACTGTGAAGGTGTAGAACTGATCTTTGTCTTAGGATATTGGATGGAAACTACACAGTGACTGCTGTTCACTAAACCTGAAGAAAGTTTATTGGAGCGGAGTTTTGTGAACAGACAGGAATGACTCCTGGAATTGGTGAGTGAGGCTGTGAGGTGATTTCTCACGAATGTCACGGAGAGACCTGTCACTGATCCTTTTTGGAAGAAGTGGCCAATAATAAATGGAGAGGAAGGCAGGAAAGTAAGAGAGTGTTGCTTCCAGAGTAGCCTTTAGCTTGCCTCCACACAAAGTCCTTAGGAATAGCTCTTTGCAACTCTATCCCATCCCGACTCTCCACTATGGAAACTTGTTTTCACCTGCTGGGGACTAATGCAGCAGAGGCCTTCCTTAGGCTTTCCTATTCCTTCTTGACATTTTCAGATGAGTGGTATGCTTTCTCCGGGGACTGAGGGAATCACAGCTTCCCTGTACTAATGTTTTCTAAACTTTATATTCCTGTCCCCGACATTTGTGGTCATCTGAGCTCCAGTCTTTGCAGCTACCTTCATTCTCCCTGTCAGAATTCCATGTCTGCTCCATTCCTAATGGGTCCCTGTCCTCTAGCTGAGCCAGCCTGGTTGGTATCTTGCCTGGCAGGATGTCTGTTTTTCCAGCCTGCTGGGATCTTGCATCTGGAGCGGGTAGGAGAGCCACTGAGCCTGAAGTTGCAAAGAGAGGCTCCAAGTCTCACTGGCATTTATAAGTGTATGGGAATTGGGCACTTTCTCCCTGTCTTGTATTGAGCTCTGTCTCCCTTTTGTAAAATGATGAGTCCGTTTTACTATTCATGTTCTAAGTAATTGACCTTGCAAAATGCCCAGATGAATGAGCGAAGGAAGAGGAAACTTAAACCCCAAGCTTCTAAGTTTGTATAGGAGAAACTCAAAATACTTAAATTAGCACAGGTCTTGGGTTTTAGGCCTAAGCTGAACAAACAACATACCCATCTGGTGGCCATGGTCAACCAATATGTAGTTTTTAGCCATTTTTTTTAAACCAAGATATATATTTTTTTACTTGCTAGGAATTAAAAAATCAAGTAGTACATTGCTCCTATACCAGAAAGGGTGCACAGTCAAAGACATTATATAGAAACATATAATCACAGAAAAAGTACGATACTAAAAGACTGTTCCTATAAGATACTGTGGGATAAAGGAGAAGGAAGCTTTTGCCCAACTCTACCTGAAGTAATTTAGGCAAACACTTTTTCCTTATGGACTTGGCGATCAGATTGGAATTCCTTTGAGTTTTGGAAGGTAGGGAAGGTCCTTTATGCTCACATCCCTCTTGTGACACATTGGGTGTCTGCAGGTGTACCACCAAGAATCTTACTTCTGAACAGAGCCTCTGCCCCGAGCCTGGCCTGTTCTTCTCTTATAAGCTTGACTCAACTACCTGGAAAGAATTTTGATTTCTTTTAGATTCAAGACAACTGAGATTCTAGCTTGTTCTGGCTCTAGTGGTGGCAATCACAGACCTTGGACGTTCTGTGTGACTTCTGCCTTTTGCTCTCAGTTGCTTTGCCTGCTTTAGCCTATTTCTGCCATTTTGAGGTAGGGAGGGTTCAGGAGAGAAGGGATGGACCACGGAGAGAAATAGATTTATCGCTACTGCTTGGTGACTTTAGTCATTCTGTCCTAGGTAATGAGGACATTTTCTGCTTTGATTGATGTCCGGGAGTGTGTTGAAAGTTGATGACACAGATATTATTCTGAAACAGGAAGTTTTTGAGGAGACAGAGTACCTTATGGTGCTGTCAAGTGGACTTTGATGATATGGACCCCAGGAATTCTGTCTTGAGAAAATGTGTGAAGAGGAGAAAAGGAGACGGTCTGGGTACCCAGTAGGGGATGTGTGAATATAACAAGTGATGTGGTAAAGGTGGTTCTCAAAGAGGAGATGAACTCATTAGAAGAGACTTTGGAGAATACTGAAGTCAGTAACTACCTTGGATGCATCAGAAAATTCAAAGTGCACAGGTATTCTGTATATGTAAGGATTGTGGCAAGAATTTAGATCAGAAGGAAGACACGAATCAAGGTCGGAGAACTCATAATGGAGACATCTGTGGATGTAAGGAAAGTGGCAAGGCTTTTAGTTTTACATCATACTGTGTTGCCCATCAGTGGATTCATAGTGGAGTGAAACCCTGTGCTTGTCAAGACTGTGGTCTTAGAAGTCCAACCTGATCCAGCAGCAGAAAATAGATACCAGAGAGAAACTCTTAGAATGTGGGGAATATCGGAAGGACTTTAGTCAAAACACAATCCTACATAACACAAGGAAATGCACACGGGGGAGAAAGTATACACATGTAAGGAGTGTGGGAAAAGCTTTACTCAAAACCCAGCTCTTCTCTGACAGCAAGAATCCACACTGGGGAGAAACTTTATGAATGCAAGGACTATGGGAAAGGCTACCTGTGGAACTTAGATCTTGCTCAATACCAGAAGGTCTGTTCTGGGGAAAAGCCCCATGAATGTACCAACTGTGGGAAAAGCTTCATTTTCAAGGCATATCTTACCTGAAATCAAAGAATCTATACTGGAGGCGGGCCGTATAAATGTAATGGCTGTGGAAAACCCATAGAAAGGTCAGAATGCTGTCCTGATTAAGCACCAGAGACTCCATATTCAAGAGAAACCCTGTGACTGTCAGATCTCTTGTCTTGAATATTAGCGATGCATAATGATGATAATTTTTAAACAATTTCAAGGCTGTAGGAACTCCAGAGTCAAAATGAACTCCCCAAACTCTCTGTAACCCCAGTAGCCAGCATTATCTTGCCCCTTCACTGCACAGAAGCCTGGGCCCCTTTCCCACCATTAATTCTGAGTACCATTTGGTTGAGCACCTTCTGTATATGACACTGTGCTAACCAGTGTTCATATATTCTTTAAATTCTTTTAAAATCCTATTGAGATGGATAGTCTTCTCCCCATTGTACATACGAAAATGTAAGGTTGAAAGAGGTTTTCACGGAAGTTACTCAGCTAGTCCATTGAAATTTTAGTCTAGAAGCAGAGCTGTCTGACTTGAGAGTGTTCTGTTCCTTAATTGTACGTGTTTATCCTCATTTTTCCAGTTTCCCTTCACCATTTATCATCCAGCTCCTTCAACTAAGCAGACCCCCCTTTTCCACTAGTAGTCTGCTACACAAGCTGGTGTTTCTTTGTTGTCCTATGCTTTTTAAGCAGTTTTAATTTTTTTTTCCTTTTTCCTCTATTGGGACATGTTAGTTATACAGTACAGTTACATTCATCATTGGGATCTTGTACCTTTACAAAATATATCTTGGTTCTTATTTTTTTCCCATTCCCCTTCCTTCCCTTCACCCCCTCCACCCTTCCCTATTTATAGAGGCTGTTTCCATTTTTTTCCTTTTCTCTTATTTTTTCTTTTCCCTTCTTAGTTTTCCCCTGTCCCTCCCACTTCCCCTACACCTTTAGACATTTTTCCTTCTATACAGTATCAATTATACATTTTGATTCTTATTTACACTTTTAGCTTATCACATGAGAGAAACCATCCAAAACAGAAGTAATATCTGAGATAACTACAGAGACGGTGGACAGAATGAATGACACGATTAGAGACTCTAGAACAGAAACAGATGAAATAAGCATGAGCTCAGGGCCATGATAGAAGCTATGAATGTCCAACATGGGAAAGAAATGGAATCCGTGAAACAGATTCAAGCAGATATCCAGGAGGTTAAAAACTCTGTTGAAAGTATACATAAGAGACCAATCTGAAGATACGCTATCAGATATAGAAGACAGGATGGTGGTCAGTGACCGTGAAAAGAGGGATCTCTGAAAAAAAGATCATTGCAGTTCCGTGGCTGACTCTAGAACTGTACCTTACCCGGCTGTTGTGGTTCTCCTTGAGGTCCCCAAGGTCGCCTGAGGGAAAGCAGCAGAGGGTCATCCAAGTTGTACAGTCTTGTATTGTGAGACAGCATTTTGGGATTGGGAAAATGTAAACAGAGTCAGAGATTTTGTTTCTGTAATAATTCAAATAACACAGCTGTAATGGTCGTCTCTTACATGATTCCCAGCGTTCATTCTCCCCTTTTGTGGAAGCAGTAACCCTTTGGAAAGTATCTTTTCCAGTTATGTGATTGGGCTCCATTGTGGCTTTATGGGTGGACCCCGTTTAGCTTGTTCCATGCTCATCCATGACAGCAAAACCAGTGTAACATGAAGTATTTACTGTGTTCTCGAAGACACTTTCCCTCTTTGAGAGACACCAAAGGAAATACTCTCTATCCTCTGTATCCCAGGTAAGAAAATCAGATGCTTGGGATTGTAGAAAGTGTTGTGTGTATGAGAAAGAAATATTCTGGTACTTCCAGGTCCTTCTGTGAAGAACCTGATGATGTAGCCAATTCCAAAGAGTAGCAAAACAAAGTGGGGCCTTATGGTTTGATTCACTAGAGCAAGCCTTACCTGAAGCAGGCCTTTCTCTGAACTTTTCAGCTGTATGAACCAATAAATATGTCTTATTAGACAATTTTAACTTTCTGTCATTTGCAACCTAGCCATACAGATACAGCCATGCATTTGAAAGCACTGCTTTCTCGTCGAGTACCTTAATGTCTCATTCCTTTCTTGTTTACTAAACCAGAAACACGAAGCCCTTATTTTTTTAAATGTCAGTTTCTTGGTGGTTGAGTGTTGAAATAGGTAACTTTTGTGCCCTAAAGTTAGTTTCCCAAATACCACCTAACTGAACATTGAATTCGCTGTGTAGCATCCCTTCCACACTTGAGGAAAATATACTCTCCTTTTCAGATGCTCTAGGAGTTAACTTCCTTTCTCTCTGAGAAAATTCTCTCTCCTCTCTGTAAATTTTTTGCTCATCAGCTATAGTTTCAGTGATATCATTGTGGCTCAACAGGATAGTAGATTCTGATAAACTGGAGACTTGGTTTTATTGGCCAGCATTATTGAGGAAGAGAGTATAGACTCAGAGACAGGTTTATGAGGCTGGAAGTCATCTCACTGATTTAGAGAAAGCTGTGCTGTAGAGTCTCCTTAGTTTAGCAACAGTGAGAAAAGAATCAGAAGTAGCTTTGGGCATTTTTCATTATTTCCCCAAAGAAGGGCTACACAAGTCTGCTGCAGGTGAATAATGTGTTAAAGCTGAGCGAGTATATTCTTTATCCCCACCTCGCTACAGCATCAAGGAGGCCTGAGATTTCTGAATCCGACTGTAGTGTACCCACTACATTTGATAAAAAGCTGTACATTTGTTTTCCATAGGTATCATGACAAAGCTGTATTCTGTTGGTAGTAAAGAGAAGTGAGAAGGAGTTGGTGTGTGAGAAGAAACCTAAATGTGATAATAAGAAATCAATTGGTGTCCTCGGTAGTGTCCCATGCTATATGTTTCTTTAGGTTTCTGTCAGGAGCGGCCCAGGGAGGAAGTGACATGGGCTTTTTTCCTTTTTTTTTTTTTTTTTTTTTTTT